TGCTTTAGGAGAACAATTCACACGGGATAGAATGGGGCTTTTGACATCAGCTGCGGCCCGGGCTGCTTACAATGAGAGGCCTGTTTATCAGAGGGACACTGTTTGACCAAGTGGAAACCAGAGGCTGGCCCTGGCCACCTGCACCGAGGATCTTTGGAGAAGTGCTTTCCTGTAACTGCTGCACCGAAGCCCATGGCCTTTTAGAGAAAGTGACGGCAACAATAAATTCATATTTCAAAATCATGAAGTTTTAAGTGTGTGTGCTGAAAAGCATTATATACATATTCTTCCACTTTATTAGCAAGCAAGCCTGAAAAAGTATCTTTTAGCTCGGAGGTCAATAATGATAATGGCTTTTTCCTTATGCTGGGTAGTCATGTCCTACCAAGGATACTACCACACTTTATGAAAATGAAGTTCATTAAAGCCCTGAACAATCAGGTGAGGCAGGCAGGTGATCATGATCACCACTACTTGGCAGGGAAAACACTGAGGCTCAGGAAGAACAATGACTTGTGACCAAGGTCAAGTGCAGGTGGGAGGTGGGGCTGATATCTGATTCCGTCTTCCAGCCTCTGGCACTGGGGAAGGACTCACAAAGCCTGTGCTGATTTTTCCTGGCAGGCTTGTCATTCCCAGCCAGAATGCAGGTGGCAAGATTGTGATTTCCTGGCATAACCTTCAGTGCTTCAGTGATCATCTCCATGGGCGCCAGGAACCAGCTGAATGTCACAGTGCAACTCCAAGGCTTAAGCGATACCTGCCGAGGTGTGCATAGCAGCCTCTCATTTATTAGTGGTGTTGGAAAGAAATCTCTAATACCTGACTGGTTACCTCTGGATTTTAACAGCTGTGGCTTATAAGAGATTTGGGAAGGAGGTTGTTTTCAAAGTGCCTTTCAGAAAGTGTCACCACTCAATTGGAGTTTCCATTCTGTTCCATAGACTGACTTGCAAGATTCTGTGCTCAGAAAACCAGGCTTTCAAGAAAAATCTGTTTATATTTTCTTACAACTCAGTTTAGCAAGTTGCCCTCATACAACCTTCCCACCTCCTCCCCTTTATTGGACGTAGTCCTCACAAAGGGTTTTACGTCGGATGTTGAAGACCGTGGAAGACACCCTGCAAAGGCCACTGCTTGACGGGGTGCTGGTGAGTTGTGGTGGGACTTGGGGAGCTGGAAGTTCCCTCCAGTCTGACAGGTTATAACCCTAGAACTAATTAGTTCCTACTCATAAAATGAAATGATGATAGCTATCATTTACTGAACACTTTCTGTGTTCTGGACACTGTGCTGAGATCTTATCATCATTCTGAATTCTAACAATCCTTGCCAATATGATCTCCGTTTACAAATGAAATGAAGATTTAGAGAAGTTAAACACTTCTATGGTGGCACATATTTAAGATTTAGGAAGTGGTGGTCACCTAAAAATTGATTCCAGGTCAGGCTAATAATTCCACGCTCTAAATCTGCAACTTAACCAGAATAAAATGTAGATACTGTGTGGCTGACATCTTCTCCAATTAGCCTGTGATCTATGGCTCTCAGAGTGGTCAGGACTGACCCTCTTGTCAGACTCAGTGTTGAAGTCAAAGAGGAAGACCTTCAGCTAGGACTAGGGGTGTCCTGGCCTGTGAGATTGCTTCTAGGTAGACCAGATAGCTGGAAGAGTCCTGTTTTCCTGCCAATTAGAGATCCACTAATTGTAAACAGTACAAATTCCCTGCATAGAGAATACATTAGTTGTTACCCATTAATGCTGTTGTGTGGATCAGTGTAATTCAGCAAATGCCCTGAAGGAAGAAGCTCAGGGTCCACACGTCCAGACCAATCCCGAGGTGGGTGCCCAGAGAGTAGCCCTGGGGAGTTTTGAACATGACTGTCTCAGTGCTTGCGTGTAGCCTCTGCTCAACAGAGGTGTTGGCTTGGCCACCCACAGTCTTGCTTTCCAGTGGGTTGGAAGCACAATTTCTATGAGAAAAAATTCTCAAAATTCAGACCTGTGTGTATGGAGGAGACATATACTAGTAAAATTATAATTTATTTAAAAAATATGGTCTGTGAAGTCAGATATGTATATTCATATGTAATATATAGACATATATGTGTAAGTGTATATTAAATATTTATATATATATTCACAAAAGGAGATAACTAATAGATCCTCTCTGCCTGGAAAGTCTCCAGTCATGTCATATGAAAATAGAAACATTTATTGAGGAAGATACAAGAAACGTGGTACATAGGACAATGACACCTTATTCTCCTTCAAAGCAGACACCTTGGGACCTCACATAGTTCTCCTAACATCTCTTCCACTGTTCAAATAACTCTGCAAAATCCTCTGTTGGAATCACCATCAGCTGCCTTGTTGTATTTTCCAGAATCTCCTGCATTAATATCTCGGACACAGTAGTGTTTGGAATCCCCAGATCAGCTACTAGTTCTCTCACTGTCAGTCTCTGGTCTTTGTTGACTGCAGCCCATACACATTCAACATTCTCAGGTGTTCTGCTTGTTGCAGGCCTTCCAGAACATGGATCACTTTCAACGGATTCTTGACCATCTTTGAACTGCTTGTGCCCCAATTTTATTGGCACTGTACTTATTGAATCACCCCCCCAAACCTTCTGAATCATCTGAATAGTTTCTACTTAGGAATGTTCAAGATTAACACAAATTTTGATCCAGATTCATTGCTGTTCTTGCTCAGTCATTTTGAATGTGATGGCCACACAGTACACATGCCCACTCAGGGGTGTCTACCACCCCCGCTGACACACACAGTGAAGTCATCATTGTTCACACATGCACATTCCAGTCCACTCTTCTTGGCTGCCAGGTTACATGATATCACACAAACCATTCTCATTATATTAATAGTGGCTGGACTTTTTCTGGACAGACCTCATATACAGGGTGGGACAAAGGTAGGTTTACAATTATGAGTACACAAAACACAGAGTTTATTCTTATATTATTATTTATTAATTATTGTATTATTTTCCGTATAAACAGTTATATATCTCTGAATAGCTCTACATCTATATATCTGTATCTACATGTATATCTATCTATTTGCTTTTAGTAGAAAATTTATCCTTACAATCCAACCCTAAGGGGACCTTATTTCTCATCCAGTCTGTGGCTAATTGTATTACCAAGTAGCTCTTCCTGTCTTTTCAGTGGGGTACAGGCATGGAAGCTGTCTACAGCAACTACTATTAACACAAATGTTTCGTGGTGTCAAAAGTCAAAGTCACCTCTCTTCCACAGTAGGCCCTTCCACAATCAAGGCAGCTTTGTCATAAAGGCCGTGTGAATAACAAGAGGTAGCTTGAAGCCATGTAACACACACAAATGCAGCCTTACACTCATGATGAAAAATACGATATTTTAGAATAACTCAAGTTTTTCAGTTTGTTCTAAGTTTGGAATTAGAATGTTCTCAGCAGCAAAAAAGAAAGAAAGAAAAAGAAAAAATGCTTTATTGTGTGTGTCAGGGTACTGAGATAAAGTAAATATCAGATATTACAGGAAAACATGCTTCATCTCATCACTTAGTGCCCATTAAAAAATCAATACCAAATACAGATTTCATCTATGAAGCTGATATATTTTCAGATTTTATGAGGACTTTTCAACTTTGATGTTTCCAAAAACACTGATGACGCCGAGTGAGGAAGGTGCCTGGCCTGTCTCCTGGCGGCTCCTGGGATGAGGTTGGTCTGAGCACCCTGTGTGGCCACGCAGCAGGCATCTACGAAAGGATGCTGGCAAAGTGTTGTTCTTTTCATTTTAATTTTAGAGAGATGGGAAGAGGGGGAGAGAGAGAGGGAGAGAAACATCACCGTGAGAGAGGAACGTGGATCGGTTTACTGGACGATGCGCCAACCAACTGAGGCACGCTGGCCAGGGCCTGACAAAGTGTTTAACCGCTTGGGCCCCACGACCTCTGCAAGGATATCACTGAGGCCGTTCCAGTCTAGCAAAGTGAAGAAAACTGACTTCGATATGTACCTTTCTCACCTACATTTTATCATTTGAAAGGTGCTATAAAAATTTCAAATGGGTATGTTGTGAAGTGAGGTGAGAGCGATTTCACTTTTCTCATATCTATGAAGTATTCCTTCCTTCCTTCCATCCCTCTCTCCTTCCCCCTTCCTTTCTTCCAACAAACAAGAAGAGCTCCACAAAGAATTATTTTGGAAAATATCACCAGTGGAAAGTGCTCCCCATTAAGTGGGGAAGGGGCGGAATGAGGGAAGCAGGGCAGCCCGGCTGGGCGCAGCACCCCTTCCCCGCACGCTGAGTGTCTCCGAGGGGTGCCCTGCCGGTCAGTCGGCCCCCTCAGCGAGGCTCAGGCAGTGACCAGCCCTTTAGGGAGGACGTGCGCTCTGAGGCCAGTGCACGTGGGAGCTCAGCGATTCCAGCTTCTGCCCTGGATCTCCGAGGTCGTCTACAGCTATCGCTTTTCCCTGATTCTTTACACGATGTGAATCTACGCTGCTTTCCTGATCGCTGCTATTGCCTCAGTACGTAGAAGAGGGAAAATGCTGGAGGGGAAGTCAGTTCCTCAGTCAACCAATACATCCATCTTGGTTTCATATAATAAAGCATCTGGTGCAAGAGAGTCTCCTGCTACAGTAGGATTCCGAAGGGGTTATATTTGAAATTTAATCATCAATCCATGCATGTTCGACACACACTTCACCCGAACATCAGTTCTACCTCTTCAATGTCACAATGTTTTGTCCTATTATGTCTTAGTAATGATCTTATTAACGTCATAGAGTAAGTTTTCCAAAGTCCTTTTAGAGCTGGTGGGATGAGTAAGTCCTAGATGAATGAGAAGGTGCACGCTTCTACTTACAGTTATGTCCCATCAGACCAAAGCAAGCTCTAAATCAAACTTATCCAGCTACCCCATCTCAACGCTAGTGATTTCTTTCCTTTCCTCCCTGGTTTTCTTTGTTCTTTTTCTTTCTCCAGGCCCCAGATGTAATCCCCTGTTCAATCTGGGCTGCCACAAAGACAGAAAGCGCAGGGATGTCTTTCTTTCGCATCCTAGTGCAAAGCAAAAGAACAGCACTAGATTGTTAAAGTCTATCCGCGGATGCAACGCTCCCTGTTTTTCCTCATCATCCTGCTAGTCACACAGGTAGAACATTAGGAGACCCATCGCTCATTCATTCATTTGTCTATTTGTTTTTCTAATCAACAGGTATTTATTGAACACAAACTAGGCACTGAAACTAGGCACTGTTCTGGGAATACCACAGTGAACAACACTGATAAAAAAAGTCTCTGCCTTCTTGTAGCTTATAGATCAGTTGGGTAGAGTCAATAACTATGATAAGTGAGTTTGATACTGAGTAGTGATATATCTCCCCCTGGCCTTCCCCTCTTCTTCTCTTTTGTCTCTTACACGGATGCTTGTTATTGGATTGAGGGCCCACCAGCTAACCCAAATGACCTCATCTCAAGATCCATGATTTAGTTACATCTGCAAGGACCCTCTTCCAAACGAGGGCATAATTACCGATTCCAGAGATGGAGGCATGGATGTCTTTTTTTGGAGCCACTATTCAGTTGTGTTTTTCTTATATAGAAGACCATTCTGAAATGGCAACATTTGAATAAACACCTAAAAGAGGCAAAGGAGGGAAGGGAGCAGACTTCTAGGGCAGCGCATTCCAGTGGGCAGGGTGAGCGTGACGGCCTTGCCCGTGCTGCTCAAGGAACGGACAGGCCAGGGAGAACAGATGGAAGGGATGTAGGCAGAGACAAGTTCCGTTCGAACTTGACAGTGAGGTGGGAACCATGGTTGCTTGACCCACGGTGGTTGCTGCAGAAGTGGTTGGATTCTGAATATGGTTTGATATCACAGATGGGATTTGCTTCTGAATCAGATGAGGGTTAGAGGGAAAAAGGACTCAAGGACGACTCCAAGTTTTTGGCCTGAGCCATCGGGCAAAATGAAGTTGACGTTTGCTGGCATGAGGAAGATGGAGGGTCAGAAGCCTGGTTGTGAACAGGTCAGCTATGGAACCCCGGATGTGGTGGTGGCTTCTAGCCACCCAGATTCAGGCACACAGGCAGTGGGATGCACCCGACTGGCGGACAGGGGAGGTCAGGGCTGGAGATTTAAGTTTGGATGTGGAGCATGGAGAAGATCTTCAGCCACGAGACTGAGTGGAAGCCCAAGTGCAGGGCAAAGAGAAATGGTCCAGGGCCTGGGCTCTGGGTCATCAAGCTCCAGTGCTTAGAGGTCCAGGAAATGAGGAACCAATGGCATCTGAGGAGAAGAGACAGGTGGAAAGGCAGACAGTGCGAGGTGTGGAAGGCAAGTAAAGAGAGTGCTTTATTCTCTGCTTGTTCTTCCATCTCCTCAGATGCATCCTTTGTTGTAGCTGTTTCTCCCTTTTAATCATCTCTCGTTACTCTCCTGGTCTTCCTATTCTCATCGTCTTCCTCATTTCATTAGCTTACTCTGGGGTGACTGTACTAGAAGCAGTTCGTGATTTCAGACCCCCATTTCATCCATCACAGATGTACTGGCCCCTCCCCTTGCTCAGACCCAAGGCTGTGTGGTGGGATCAGGGTCCCTTATGACCACCTGAGGGGGAGAAGAAGGTCCAAGGGTAATTTGTGGATGGGTCAGCTTGGAATAGGGTACAAGCTAAGTCTGGACTGCTGAAAGACAGAGGTGAGGGGAAATGGAAGGGTTAGTGAGTTGGGTGCATCTCATCATCTAATTAGGGAGTAAGAAGAATGGCCTGAGGCACGCTGTTTCATGAGCCGTGGCGGATGCAGTCAGGGGACCGCAAGGAGAAAGGTGGACCATCGGGGAGACGCAGGTCTGGGGAAGAAGCACGTGGATGGGCACCAAGTGCAAAGGGCTTGTTCCTTCTGTGAGAGCCTCCCAGATAGCACCCACCACGCACGAGGCACTCAACAAACAAGCATAGAAGGGCTCACTCACCTGAAGCCACCCAAGCTCATCCGTGACCACCCAGTCCTGGCAACATGGTCTGCAGATGGAGTAGCCACCATGGCAGGAATGGTGGCGGCGTGTGAGCCTGTCGGCGGGGCTCCCACTCACCAAGGCCGCTGTGCTGCAAGTGACCAACCAAGACCAGTGCTGAGCCCTGTATGGCACTGCCCCTCCCACCAGCCACTGGGGGACAGGTGGAGCACAGTGCACGGGGTGACACTTGTGTCACAGTTCAACTGCCCACCCATCTCCCCAGCCCAGGGCCCCATGCCCAATGCTGCCTCCTTCACTCCCCTCTGAGGGTCTTTACGGAGAACCATTTAATGTTCTATGTGCAAATACATATCCGGCCCACGATAGGAAGAGAGGCAAAAGCAAGAGCAAAAATGGAAAATGAGAAAAATGAACATCCGATATGTCACTAATTAACATACAAAATATTACATCTTTTCTCTCTGCATCTCTGTACCATACACCTGCATGGGCCATTTTTATTTCATTCAATGTTTTTCTAAACATCCACTAGGTGGAGAACTTGCATCAAGTTTGCCACAGGTTATGAGGCCCTGCCAGCCAGTCCAGGGAGCTGCGTTTATTTATTTATACCATTATTGAAATGATGGGTTCTAACAGACAATGAAGTGCATTTATGGCTCTTCTTAGTGGCCTAAGCTTTTCAGACATTATAGACCTGAACACATTATAGAGAATTACATTTCTCTTGTGATTGACTGTTACTGTGGATGTTTTTTGTAGGAAAAGATTAACTATGTGAGGACAAGGCTTGAATTTCTGCATAATAATTTTTGTCGAATACTGCCTCTTTGTTAATTTATTACGATTTAGTCTAAGCTCTCTTCCATTTGCAAGATGATTTTTATTTTGAATTTCTGGAAGTGAGTACTGATGGAAAGATAACTGCAGATTAAGAAAATAATTTTATTCATTAAAAAACCTTCTCCATGGATGTGATTTTTTACCCTTCAATTTTCAAACACCAGGCAAAGAACTTTCTTCTCAGATGCATTGTTATTCTTGCTGATTGTTGAGAAAGTTTTATTGAGGTCACAGAATGTAGGTTAATAGAATTTAGTATACCTCATTCTCGGGTGCAGCTGGGAGCAGTAGGAATGAGGCTGAATTCAATGGCCAGCCAGCCCCGCCATGGCCATGGGAGGGAGCATTGCACCAGGAACTCTGGCTGGCTCTGGGTGTGGGAGCTTGTCTCCTGCCACCAGAGTCAGGAGCCACGGAGGGCATGTTTTTTACATCCCGTCCAGGTGAGGGTGCTGATCTGCTCAAAGAGTGTTGGCCACACCCAACACTCCATTTCTGAAGTTGGCTCCAATTCATCCTCTCTACAAAGCTGGGTGAAGACAGGTGGCCTTTACAACACCCCTAATTTTTCTGGTCCTGGCCTGGCTGGTCCACAGTGTGTGCCCTCCCTAAAAGAGTCTGTGGTCTCTTTCTCCATGTGCATATGGAGAAAGTAGAAATTAGCAAACTACCGCCTGATGGTCAAATGCAGCCCACGGCTGGGTTTTTACAGATGACACTTTTCAATCGATTTGATGATAGGGAATGTTGACTTTGAACTATAATTAAGTGAAATATTGTTCTCCTCTACCCCTGCCAAATCCCATTATTCTCGTGAGCAGACCTGTATTACAGAAATTGTACTCGATTATATTTTAAATTTTATCAATTAAAAGTTGTAGGCGTTTGTTTTCTCTCTTGTTATATAAGTGTCTGGATAGTATCTCTGATCTTGCCCCTTGACCTGCAAAGCCTAAAATATTTACTATCTGGTCTTTATCTAGAACACATTTACTGAGTCTTGCTTTACAGGATCTATTAACTTTTTATACCTTCTAAAATTACTCATCAGATTGTGTGTGAAACATGTGATTTTTTTTTTCTGGAGACAGGGTACCTGGCTTTCTTTGATCTGAAAGGTGACTGTGATCACCAAAATGTTAAGAATTGCCAGTGTCACTGGACGAATCCTACCCATTGCTGATAATAGTAATAGCCCTCAGTGTTGTATGGGACCAATGTATAAAGAATTATCAAAACATTGTCCATGAGAAATTCAAGGCAACTAAGTAGGGGTGAATCGAGTTGTTAAAATTTGAGAGTGATCCTTTAGTTATAATCACAGAGTTTTTTATTTTTACTGAAAATAATATAGGTACCTAGTAAGTTATTGTTTAATCAACTTTATGCCAATAATGTAAGAAAATAGGGCCCCCTTTTTTGATGCCCTTGAGAAAAGCAGAGCGCCTGGTACTGCATAGGTTTTTAGTTTGGGTTGGTGACTGAATGACCCACATGAACAAGATTAATGGTGTATTTGAAAATGGGTTACTGTCAAATGCCCATAGTAATTAGAGTTATGAAATCAGCTATTCTTAAGAATTTTAAGCTCACCTAATCAGGACAGTACCTATAAGGAGTGAGGTTATAAACAATGTGATTTGGCATTTTCTGTATTTTGTAGAGCCCACTCTGCTATTATGACTGCAAGACTAAGGAATTAATTTTTAGAGAATAGAGATGGCCAGAGAGCATTCTGGCAATTCATAGCAATTCCTTAGAATGCAACTTTGATGCTTTGGTGCCATTCAGTTAGAATTTCTGGGAGGCTGAGTCTATTTCAGCCATTTCAGCTCCCATCCATGTGAGTATTCAGATCTGCTAAATGAGTGTTGGCCACGCACAGCACCCCCTTTGCTTCTGGAGCTCATTCCAATTCATCCTTTCTACAAAGGTGGGTGGAGACACATGGTGTTTACAACACCCATCATTGAAAAAAACCAGGGGCAGAAAGGAAAACAGAGATGTGACCAGTACCTGGAATCAAAGCCAGTGTATTCTTGTCCAAGCAACCTGAAAAGTGCTATCTCAGAGGACTGTACTTTTTTTCCCTGTAGAACACTCACTGTAGTTTATCAAAAGGGGGGTTCACACATCTTCTTTGATTGAGCTGTTTGTGTTACCGTGGGTTCTGGCAAATGTCTCCTAGAGCCTAGCTGAGTGGTTTGGGTACAACATCACCGCCTCTTCCAATTTAAGAAACTCTCATGAGATTGCATGAAGACAAAGAGTCTGCAGAGAGACTCCAA